TCGAGTTCAAAATCAAATCGTTCGATTTCTGTGGCAGACGTTCGGTCCGCGCCCTTCACGCAATATGCGAGATCTCGCAGTTAATGGAAAATCATCTATTGAATATATCGATTTTGTGAAGTTATGACCATGTATACTAAATGTCATGCTTGAATATAATATACAACTATTTATTTTTTATACTAGTCATCTCTGTCATATGTTCCTTAAAAGTTGTATCCAAAATAAAAGCACGATAAAGTCACGGTTTTTATGACTACATTGATACATTTTACCATCACAATCAATTGCTTACATGGCAGGCAAACCTCATCAATATAATTCGTCTATTTTTAGGTCAAGTAACATACATCATATAATGATCAAAACTCAACGTATTTATCAAAACATATCGTTCTTTTATAGATTTGATTTGGAGAATACACATTAATGTTGTTATGATCATATCTTTTTCATTATGATTATTAGTTGACACCTTCAACAGAACACTAACAACGAACGGAAATCATACACATTTTATTTTTAAAAACACAAACTATTCCCAATTCTGTTTTTACATGTAACTTATTTGTCATCATGGTGTGACCTGAAATGGTGTCCGTATGCCGACAAAATATAACCTTCTTGGCAGAAGTAATAACAATACTGAATATAATTAATATGGTCATATATTAGTGCAATGAGGGTTATTTTTAATATTTTGTTTTCACAAACTGTGATGAACTAATGATAAATCATCGTTGAAAAGGATTCCTAGTCTTATTTGGTGAGAGGAATTTTGCTGATTTACATAGTTTATTGCTCACCGAATATTGCTTACCCAAACTTTGCTCACCGAATTTTGCTCACCACTTATCCAACCTCGCATCGTGGCGTACAACGTTTTCCGGTTCGGCATTTTCTGTTGTGAAAAAAAAACATCTTGAAAAAAATCCTGCGAAACACACATTGCGTATCGAAACACAATTCGCGTGGATTATTTTGTGTTGAAACACATGTTGCGTGGTGAAAAACAAAATTAGTGGCGATTGTAGTAATGGCCCTACTTAGACAGACGCTGTCCAAATGAAAGAAATACACGGGCCCAAACACGTATACGCTGCAAAATAACTGTAACAACAGAATGTTGCAAATCTTTCGTTCTTAACTACTAGTAACTTGAAGTCACGCCATATGATAACTTACTTAGTAGATAATGAAGTCATTTAGGAGAGTATGCTTCAATCAGGGCTTCGTCCCCTCGTTTATTCTACCAAACTCGTTCATTCAGCGCCATGCGAACTGAGTAAGTGTGAACTTAGCAATCGCATGGAGCGAGATATATCAAGCGCAGGCACCAATCGCGGATTGTGTAAATTAATGCCGAATAATAATAATATAATCGACAACTTCAATATAATAATTGCGTGTTCTTTTTTGTGTTTTTAATACAAGTAGCGTTTTATAATATTCCCATTCTGTCTTTATTATAAGTGAAGTGTCAACATCATGCTATTTTTCTTTGCAATCTAATTCATCTGTTTAAAGAAAAGTCTGTTTCTTAAAGCGGGGAGTCGTCATCTGCGCATGCGTCAAATGGCCATACATACTAGTAGCGTGTCATTGTTTACAAACAAGCGTCTACCAATGAGCCTTTGCGTTTTTAGCGTGTGTTGTTATCGTCGTTTGTGACTCAACTCCCGCGCGTGCGCAGGTGACGACCCTCCCGCTTTATACATTTCCGAGCTTAGAAATGTGTAACATATTATATGTATGTATGTAGTAATGACATTTTTTTTTCACTAAAACTAAAACAAAAGTGTTATGTTTTCCATTTTGTTGCACTGTTTTGTATTCATTAGTTATTTTCCCACTTGTAAAATTGTAGCATTTACATACTAAACTATATGCTAATTTCTTATTTAACAAAATGATACATACTGTTGTTCGTGTTTAGGTAGTTAGCATCTATTAAAATTAGTAGTATTTTTGTAATGCCCGCGGACGACCTTATATACCAGCATGTCCTCGCTCCTTGTTTGTCGTGCCTTTAAATTACACAATTACTTGAATACCACTTTGCCAGAGGTGTTACTGTTACCGATATGTATTCTTTTTAACAAGAACTAGACTGGTAAAATCTTTTTTGCTTTGTGAACAAAAATGTTTTCAGCGTGATCGCGAAACCCCTGTGACCGCGAAAGATATTTGTAATAAAAACGTTCATAAGCAAAACCCAGCTGTTGTTCTTCACTGTACATATGTGTACCAAGGATTTATACATTTTTATTTCTACTAGTACATTGACATTGAATGGCCTGCGCTATTTCTGCTTTTAAATATGTTTGTTGCAGGTAACAGTTCCCCACATTGACTGTCACAGTTGTCTTTCTTGAAACAATGTGGAAATTGACATATCATCGACAAATATTATATCTGAGCACAGTCACTTGAGGGCTGAAAATCCAAATAAATCGATCAGTTAAAATTTTTCTTTTTCCCCGATTTTTCATAGCTACTCATTTAACAAACAGCGATTTTTTAGAAGATTGGCGAATCGATTTACATGTATTTGGATTTTCAGTTTTCAAGTGACTGTACACAGACCTGACGCCAAGAAAATGGTTGATAGGCACGAGTTAGTGCGCCCTCACCGACAGCCGCATACTTTTAAGATCGACAGGGATGACGCAAAACAAATCGCGTTGGAGGGGGGGGGCTGTCGAGAAACCGGGTCGTAAAAAGTTCAGGCCACTGTGAAACAATCGAATCTTCTATTGACACTAGAGCGTTTCCAGTACACCACGGCCACTGATCGTATTTACACTAATCGGCAATGGAATCGGCGACGCGAAGGGCAAAGGTCACAGAGACTGTACACAAATTATCTCGTGAAACGGAGAACCTATGTAATCGACTTTGAGACCCGAAAAATAAGTGTTCGACAAATATTCCGGAAATGTTCAAACACGATGAGCGAGTAAGTTATGATTTGTTCTGTCCACTGTTAACAGGACTCAATTTGGTGGGGCATTTTCAAACTGTGAAATGCCGGTGCCGGTTACCTATTTCACATAGAGCGACTGTGCCTATTTTGACACTATTGTTCAACTCATGTACTGTGACTTTCATGGGGCGCTGGGTCACCTGGAATTTCGCACTGGAAAACGATAAAGCGGCGAGTCAGATAGTTAGTCATACAAGTGTGACCCTCGCACAAGAATTGGTAGTCTGCACCTCTCCTTGGCTCCTGTTAAATTGGAGCCAAGTTCAAGTTCAAAGTCTAGAATAGAATAGAGAGATAGCGGTATTATCCAACTGTACACTGACTGTAGTGACAAGTACTAATCACACTGACTGTAGTGACAAGTACTAATCACACTGACTGTAGTGACAAGTACTAATCACACTGACTGTAGTGACAAGTACTAATCACACTGACTGTAGTGACAAGTACTAATCACACTGACTGTAGTGACAAGTACTAATCACACTGAACGCACATTAATACTATATAAATACAAGTTTAGTGCTGCATTTAGTGTTTAGTGCTGCATTTGGTGTTTAGGGTTCGTCTAAATTTTATATGATGTCTCGGAGCTCCAAAATGTTTAATATAGCAATTGAGCTTGTTTAATCAACAGACATACTTAATAGTGTAATTAGGTGAGACACAGATGTAGAGGCAGGTGGGTGAATTAGCTATATTGGGTTAGTATGTGTGTTAATTGCTGCTTTGGATTCACAGGTCCAATTTAAATTATAAAAATCCTGTGTTGGTGTACCTTTAACCACAGTGCTTTAACTACAGTTGTCCATGGAGGTACCTCCATGATCTGTTCAAATGACATTAAGCATTACGGCATGGAATTAATTATTCTTGATGACGTAATCAAGGTAATCATAATTAAAATATCGACAGACATACTTATACTGTTGTGGTGATGAAATAATTTCTCTAGGGCTTTGTTCAGGCAATATATTTTACAATAAATCATAGAAAATTTAATGCAAAGTAACACAGTTAAAATGTCTATTGTCTGCAAGCATTGTCCTTGCTTGATCGCTCTCACGTGTTGTACCACATTCTATGATTATGTCAGTACTATTTTTAGTCAAATCTTTGTAACATGACAAACACTGCAGACCTTAGTTAGATACAGACAGCCGTATAAATCACATTGAGAGTTTGAAAGCCACAAGACTTTTTCCCCTACAAATATTGTTTCATTCTCTCCCCTCATTTCATACACTTTTCCGAATACCATGATTACGTAGGTCAGGGGAACAGTGGACGTGGTAATGGATGAGAATGGAACATTGGAGGGGATAAAATGTGTGGTTCTCTCTCGCTCAATGAGATCTTGGTGGCCCTTGCATTTTGGGTGTATTAACTATTATGCAAATCATGTTTGTCAACCAATCAGAGAGCTGCCTGTAACAATACTTTTTATTGGCTGCTGATGCTAGAAATTATGTATTCTCTGGTGGACATCTGGGCATTTTCATCGTCCGGCAACCATCACATCTCAGAAACTCTTAGAAAACGGTACTTTGGGATAGTTGTTGAGACTCCCCTCAACAGTGTAACAAGATTTCCCCCACGTGTACAACATATATAAATTTGGTTGCTCAGGATTACTTAAATGTTGAGTTTGTGTTGTTTTCACCAGCTCTTCAACCGATGTTCCACAGCAGTTTGCTTAGAACCGATAGAAATACATGCTACGCTGCTGCGCATCTTAGCAACATTCTGTGACATAGCTCTGCCCCAGGGAATAGGCAAAGTTTTGTAAGATAATGCTTGTATGGTGATATGGGACGACGAAGGTCCCATTCTGTGCGAGTTCCATGTGCATCACAGAATTCAGTGGAAATGAGCAAAGTTATCACGGTATTCAAAAATGCGAAAGACACGTAGTACGTGCTCTTGTGACAGTGTATGCTATCTGTACCATATGGAGTCAAATTTATCTAGCTAGCTCCTCTAAAGTGATGGTATTTCTATTTATTGCAATCAGGAACATATTTTGAATGGTGCAGATGCTGAAGACACAGTCCAGAAGTCCTATGGCAGCAATGGACCAACTAGATTTGGATCCGGTCGTCTACATGGAGCCACAGTATCATTCCATGATATTACCTATAACGTTGTCACAAAAATAGATGGCAAAAAGACTAACAAAGATATTCTTCATAATGTTAGGTACTGTTACTACCGTTATGATATTAAAACTCAGTACTGTGAAAAACTTTATTTTAGCAGCAATTAATTTTCGCTTTTTGGGTGTTTTGTATGGAATTTATTTCACTGATTTTTGGTGAGTTGAATGTAAAATATAGGATTTTATTTTCATTGAATCATTCCTTCAGTGAGAATAGTGAAAATTAATTCCAAGCGAAATAAAAGTATTTTACACTATGCGATTCTATACGCATCATTTCACTACATTGTCATTATTAGCAATAAGTTCATGCTCCAAGCGAGGAGTGAGTATGCACATGGCTACATTGTCATGATTCCATGCAAAGTTATTAATGGAAAAAGTCGGCCAAGCTGGGTTCTAACCATAACTTTCGTATTGGTCGTCAGTACCATTAACTTCTACTCTATGAGGGATTTGGTTGGGATTGGTGTACAAAAGTAGACGTTTCAAAAATCCATTCGTCTTCACATGATATGCATGACAATGCATCAAAATTCACAAGATGCCAACAATAATTTTGGCTATTTAACTAATATTGTTTAATCAAATTAATATTGTTTATTTCTGCTTTTTTTTTCAGTGGTGTATTTTCTCCTGGTGTCAATGCCATTCTAGGCCCAACTGGAAGTGGTAAGACGTCGTAAGTATTGAATATCATTGAATGTGTGGAGCTATTCCAGACTCCAGTCAGTTTACTATTCCTAGATCTTGCATTCATTGTCACAACGATGGTTTAATTAGTTTGTTGTTTTTAATTTTTTGCAGACTGCAGCCGAAAAATGGAAATCAATAACTTTAAATTATTTCATACTCATAGTTTTTGTTTTACGTTAATGAAGAGAAATTATTAATCTTTTGTAAATTATCGCAGTCAATATTTTTTTTAAATGGTGGCTTTTATTAATTTTGATTTCTTGAGCAAAGAATTAAAAAGACGATTATTTGACAAGTTCATTTGAAAGTAGTTCCCCATTCAGTCAAACTGTTCTATCATGAAGAATTTTGGGGCCAAAATTGAAAAAGATTTTTGCTATCGCTCGTGCGACTTTGCCCCGAAAAAATACCCATAGTTTTCTACAGTTGAACAGTTTACCTGAATCTATTCAACTATTGAACCAAGCGATTGTCAAATAAATCATTTGTCCTTTGTTTGATTGCACACAGTACATAATAGTAACATGATGTCACAAGAAACATGATGTCACATTTAGGGTATATTGAAAACCAGTGTGTGCATTGGGGAGGGGGTTCAGGATAATAATGTACATTATTTTTTAATGAAAAGTAGAAGCATTTATTGTTATCATATTATTGAATATGAATATGAGACGTGTGTCATTAACTGATCATTTATTTTGTTGCCTTGTCTGCAACGGTAATGACGCAGGGTGTCACCATATCCGGTTGTTATCATTGTTAACACTTTCTTGTGGCCAGAATAATGCTATTAATTTTTGTCAAATCTTCCTGAAAATCAGAAATATCGAAAAAATCAAAATATAATATTAGTTCAGTTCAATGATGCAATGTATCCTGATGATGTGTCGTGTTTGTTATGGATCCCATAAAATGTAAACAATTGATTGGGAACTTCTTTCCATTTTTGTCGATACCTGTAACACTTTTTTTTTGTTTTCATTGCTTTCAGACTGCTAGATATTTTAGCTGGAAGAAAAGATCCAAGAGGCCTTTCAGGTCAGGTGTTGATAGATGGACAAAGACAACCACTAAACTTTAAGTGCATGTCTGGATATGTCGTACAGGTACGTCATGGTAGTGTCAGCAACTTATGGAAAAACAACAAATTCACAATAAACAACACAAGATTACCATAACTCGTATGTGTTTCGTAAATTATCTGGGTATTCACATTCTGTGGTACAGAGTAATAAGGGATTGTTTGTTAATCTTTATTTCAGATCTTTTGATGAAATTCTTCGGAAAAAGACATTTAGCTTTATTAGTAGTCTGCATCTTTCTTCTAATCCCTTGATAACAGAACACTGTACATTTCAATTCATTCATCAGAGTGTGATATGGAAATTATGGGAGAAAAGGATTTTTTGACTTGTATTTTTTTTTTTGCTATGGATTTTTATGATCTGAAATAAACACATAATAATAATGACACATTTCCTGCACAGAGAGCCAAAATTAGTGGAGTGAAAAGGCGTCCACGGGTGATGTGTTTGCGAACCAAAATTATTCTGGCCACAATTCTGGTGCCAGATTTTGCATATTTTCATGTATTTTTCTAGAATGTTTCATTTATTATTATTGCTAGCTGATTTCTAACTGTTTGATACTCAAAAATGCAGTGGATAACAGGGACTACGTTTTTTAATGTGGAATAATACATCCACCAATGCTGACAATCATGCAGCTAATACTCAAACACTCCAAGCCTGTTCACTCTGTTCTATAACATATTTTGTGAGAAAAAAACCCTCACACTATAAGCAATGCTAGAGGATTTCTCACACTCAGAGATTTTGGTCTCACACTCGTCTAAGGCTCATACAAGACAGAAAAATCTCCAACTCGTGTGAGAAATCTTATATTCCACTCCCATGGGAGGTTGTATATGATTCTACATCTCTACATCATTTTCACTTAGTATGTCGTTATTCCCAATTGAAAGAAGTAAGATAGAGATGAATACATTTTTTTTTTTTTTTACAAATACCATCATTTCCTTCTTTATTAATGCAGGATGATGTTGTCATGGGAACACTGACTGTCAGAGAAAACCTTGAATTTTCTGCATCCTTACGACTTCCAGGTCGTATAAAAAAAGAAGAACGAGATGCTCGTGTACAACAAGTTATCCATGAACTTGGTCTTAACGTATGTGCTGATTCTAAGGTGAGTATTTAGAAGGACCCCTAACTACCGGTATGTTGTTTACCAGGAATTGTATTATTAGTTAATTCTTGAATCAATTGCTGATAAATACTAGATTGCTGATTAGATATGTGGTGTTAAATTTTTTTTTTGTGAACATGAATTCTCGGGGCGTACATCACCGCCTGGCAACCACTACGGTGAAAACAAAAGGCCGAAAACTTTCCGAAAACTGTACTTTGGTATAGTTGTTGAGACTCTCCAAAACTGTGCAACTAGATTATCCCTACCTGTGCAACATATATAAATTTGGTTGCTCAGGATTACTTCAAAGTTGGGTTTGTGCAGTTTCCTCGAGTTCCACAGCAGCTTGCGCAGGGCCCATAGAAATACATGGTACAGTGCTGCGCGTCTTAGCAACGTAGAACGTCCGTGACGTAGCTCCGCCACTGAGAATAGAAAGCATCTGAATGAGAGAATGCCCACATGTGGCCATCATGTTGAAAGGTCAGTCACTAAACATGAGGTCAAGCAAACTATAAGGATTCCCCAGTGACCATATTAACACATTGTTCACTGAAAGCCGAAATAAATAGGGAAAAAATAGCATTTATTTAGGTATCATATTGCGATAACATCATATTTTGGTGGAATCGCTCTCAGTATGTGTTGTTCCTAATTCTTTACCTGTGCTTTACAACAGGCAGGAACACCATTCATACGTGGAATATCAGGCGGTGAACGCAAACGAACCAACATTGGGATGGAATTAATAATACAACCCTCAGTACTATTCCTAGATGAGCCCACCACAGGGTTAGATGCAAGTACAGCGAATGCTGTGATTTTATTATTGAAAAGGTAACATTTTTAATGACTGACCTGTTGAAATTCTACGAGTTATTACAGTGTCACCGTTCAAATCTCATATACAAAATAATAATTTACATACACTGACAATGTCAATGTCAATATCGAAATAGGGAGGGTATTATGAGTATACTGTAAAGTATACACAACAGTACAGCGAGAGTATCAACTGGTGTGTAGTGCCACCACGTACTGTCTGAGTTCATACTTTGCGGTATCCTCGTAATAACCTTATTTTTATACATGTTCCCAATCTAACTGCTTTGTCCGTGAAGACCAAAACTGAGCAAGCTGTAGAAAATTGTTCAAACATGTCTGCCATTTTGATAATGTACCAGCAATCGTTTCATCATATTTGGAAATTGCTTTTCCTTGTAAAGCAGGATGCAAATACCACGTTTAATACCACAAAATTGATGGCATACTATAACTTACTGATGTATAATAACATAAGGTTATGAGGATACCTCAAAGTATGCACAGACAGTACAGCTGGAGTATCGATCGACGTGCAGTGGAGGTCGATGCCCGGCATACTGTATGAGTATTCTCGTAATAACCTCATTATTATACATCTTTTCCTTCCAAGAAGTTTAGAACAGAATCAGTTAACTTCTTTGTGTAGAGTCCGGTCAAACCCCGATAGCAGCCATGTTTGTTTTTATTATTAGAGGACGCTCACACGCGTAATCATTCCATATTTAGTATTTGCATTTCCTTATATGGTAGGATGAAAATACCATGTAAAATACCGCAAAATTACGGCACGCTGTTACTTACAGTAACAGATGTATAATAATATCCAATACTAGAACCCAGAGAATCAAATCAAATTCACTACGTTCAATTACCCACCATAGACTCCGGTCAGTCAAAATGACTATTTTGAACTGTAGGCATTAATCAGCGATTCTGCCGGTGATGGAGAGATAGAATCTAGGTCAGGGGAAGCCCCATGACCTCAAGATTCTTTTACCCCTTACGTCACGAACCCACGTGACCGAGGCCACATGGCAATGCCATAGGCAGCCGTCCATCACTCTTAATTTCTCTCCGCCTTGAGTGGAGATGAAATCTAGCGAGCTCTGCTGGATCGCCTGCTTTTTTTCCTGTCCGGATTTATAGCTTGGGTTGTTGCCGCTGCTCGGCATCCGACATGGTAGCTGGTAGGATAAGTTTTCCTTGTCTTTTTTTACCCTTGTGTCGTTTTCCCTTTGTGTGTAGTATTTTTCACAGCAAAGAAATCAAA